GTGCTTGGTTGTCTGTCTCTAAGTGTAGCCCTGTGATAGACTGGTTACCTGTCCAGGTGAACCTGCCTTCACCCTGAGTCAGCTGGGATAGGCTCCAGCCCCCCATGACCCTAGTAAGGTGTATAGATAATGGATGGATGGATTTACCAAATAAATCACCAGATAGAACAATTAAAGAACTGAAAATGTCGCATCCAACTAAAGCTGGATCAGCAGCATCCATAAAATATGTGCTGCACAGTGTGTAGCTTCGTTCTACATGGTGTCCTGCAGTATTTTAATTAAATATAATTAAATAAGCTTTAAAACTACACTAACTAAAAAGAGGATAAGAGCAACGTCCACCTGTTTCTGTGCATTAACACAAACCGCCCCACAAACACTTGAAGTTAAAAAAGACACTGAATTACACAAGCAGACGCTCCCGCCTGAGGTGAAGAACAGGCGACTGCATTAACTGGCAGTCATCACCGAGGTGCTGCAGATGAAATCATTATTTCACCATCAGTACACCGTCTGACAAAACGGGCCGAGGTTAAGGCGGGACGGCAGCTGTGCAGCCACATCGACGATTTAAATGAGAACGTTAAAGGGTCGTCACGTTCTGTCACCAAACACCTGAACGAGCTGCAAACGTGTCCTCGATGGAATAATGACTGTTATTTATACGAAACTGGCTTTTAGGGTTAATTTTATCACGAATATGTGTCACAGGGGAGATTTCTGCCACTTGTGTTTATTTGTTATTGCTGGTAATTTGCGGTAAATACTTAATTGCTATGACTGATGTGATTGTTTTGAATAAATGCTGTTTTTATTAAGTGACAAATGTTTCATGCTTTTTTATTGTTGTTGTTTTACCTTTGGGTTAATAAAAAAAAATGCACAAAAAACCTTAATCCATTCGTGTTTTTGGTGTGCCATCATTTCAATCACAAAAACAACACTCGTGCATTTTGGTTCGTTTAAAGCTTCATTGCTGGAAATATGATAAAAATCTGCAGGGTAAAAAAAAACACAGACAGCAACTTGATTGATCGGTTTTGGTGACATAGAAAGCACATTTTCTTAGCTACCTCTTAACTTCTCGTGAATAATTGACCACAGCTGCTGACTCCTCGCACTTACTTTAAATAGAGCTCATTAGAGCCACTCGTTAGACCATTTGCCATATTTCCAGCAGACCCACAACAAATCTATAAAGGAGTCAAACTGCATGATTGATTTTAGTGATTCCATCAGAGAAAAGTCAGAGTTGTAGGAGTCACTGGAAACTCCTGTTCACAACAATGAATTTCACACAGGTCACATCTTCTCAAAGGCTACTTCCAGCAAAATATATTAATATAAATATAATAATAATATGTCGTGTCACAAAGCAAAAGCCGTCTCAAGCTAGTTCCTTGAACGTGACAATGAGTTCAGTTTCAGCAAATCTGAATCCAGCATGTCCTGGGTCGGCTCTGCAGAGCGGTTAATAAAGTCACATCGGGGGATCGAATCGAGCACTTTGCTGTAAAACATGGACCATGTTGGCCAAACAAGCCTCCATCGGCTCCTGAGCCTGTGGACGTCAGAGGTTAGTGAATAAACAATGACGTACACGTGACTTTAACACCGCCGTTGGCTTCCTACCGTGATGATACAAAAGAATGTCATCTGCATAGAGCTTCACTTTAATGTGCGAAACTACCAGAAAGTAGAGCTTTTTTTATTCATGTCACTTTGTTCTCTGCTTCTTTTACACCAAAGGAATTCCTCCAGCTGCTTTTTAAAAAAAAAATCTCCATTAACCAAAAAATGGAGAGTTTGCATGTATTTTCTACATTTTTATTTTTTTTCCAGAATTTACACTATATTTGGTTGAAAACTGATAATGGATGCAGATTTACCATCAAAATTCTTGGTAGTTTTTGAAATAGTATTGCGTTATTGATTTCAGACTGAAGGAAACAACGGCAGCTTCTCCTTTCCAATTGGAAATAATCAATTTTGTTGAACTTCCTTGCTGTTTTATCAGCTGTAGGTAGAAAGATAATTCATTTTAGATCTATTAAACAGTTGAAAACTACATTTCTACGTCTAAAATAATCAAAGAAAAGCCATTCTGTGGATCGCACCAAGGCCACGATACAGTTTATTTTATTTTTCGGCGTTGAGGTCAATTCTGAAACTCATGGGAACATTATTTGAAATGATAAATATCCTTAAAACATTCTTTGAACATTAATTTTCATTGAAACTTTATTAATACTTGTGGGTAGCGTTGGCCACATGTTCCATCATGTGTTTAATGATTATATATGCCATATTCCTTCTACATGTTTATTATTATTGGCATACTGTATTTAGACTCTTTGATTCTCTTTTTTATTGCAAAATAGCAGCATGATTTTGCATCTTATTTCTTCTACCAGCACATTATTTTTCTTAAATACAACATGTGAGCTGCTGAATACCTTAAATTTCCCAAAGGGGATGAATAAAGTGTCTCTCTCTGTATTTCACAGTGGATATTAAAACAAAGCTCGACTTCATAAATCATTATATCTCAATTAAATCACATTATCTGTCCCAAAAAAAAAAAAAAAATGGAACCATTCGGCTGCTGCTCTGAGCTTTCAGACACGTTTCACTCTTTTTTTATTTTAACAGTCAAAAACATCTTTGTTTTTCCCTTTTCTCTTCTGTCAGAGCTTCAGCAATAGACTTCATGTGAACACACTCGTGCCAATGAAGCAGTTTGAGGTGAAAAGAGGCGAGAGGCAGCTTTTGACTTCTCAGAGAAACAGACTGAAGGAGTTAAGAGAAAGCAGAGCGAACGGAGGGACTTACAGATTCAGCAGAGGAGGGGAAGTGGAGAAAAAAAAAAAAAAAGAGGCACAATGCATGGCAGAGAGAGAGAGAGAGAGAACGAGAGAGCGAGCCAATACGATACGAGGGCGAGAGAGCTTTGGTGGAAACACAGCGAGCAAGCGAGAGAGAGAGCGAGCAGGAGATCCCAGAGAGGAGCTGCAGACAGCGACTGCATGCGAGAAGCAGCGTGAAAGCAGGAAAACGATGAGCTCCTGATTCAACAACTTAGCCAGACTCCACATGAAGCCTCTTCAGTCCTCAGGCTCCTTCTGCTTCTTCTTTTATGAGTTGTTTTCTCTTCACCAAGTATCAAGACGTGGAAATGCACCGAGAAAGGGGGGAAAGATTGCGAAGGAGCAGATCTGTGTTGGATTTGCAGAGTGACTGACATTTTCCACTGAGGACTTATGCAAGCAGCAGGAGGAGGAGAGAAATTACAGGAATATTTGGTATCTCTGGAGGGCTGCTTTTATGGATAAAAAGGAAGTCAAGACTTTCTAAGTGTGTGTGAGGGAGATTAAAAGGTAAAGTTGGCGACACACACACGTCGAACCCCGTCGTGTTCACCATCCATCATCTCCGTCGGCTGCCGATGAACTCGCACAGGTGCAGCGACGAGTTTGGACGAGGATTCTCACGCACGTTCGGCAACACTGTGCAGGCATGTAACTCAGATTAAAACCTGCACATTCACCGGGATTCCTGTCAAACTCAGAATCCACAGAGGGAAACATCGCCTGCTGCTTCAGAAACTACTTCAGCTCTGTCAGGTCCTCACATGGAGCTACTATTTTTAACATGAACGCAGACTTCAAGGATGAGAAACCTGCAGCCGTGGCTTCAGATGGATTCTGTAATCAGGGGATGGTTTGTCTGAAGACATGTGAGTCGAAATCGATGCAGCGTTTGGTTTGGGATATTCCGAGCTTCTTCTTCTTCTTCTTCACTGTGTTTGCAGGATTTTCATGCATTCAGGATCGTCCCCTGAGATCAAACAGCTGGATGATGCTATTTTAGTTTCCCCCCACGTGGAGATCATCGAACGGAGATCATGGAGGAAGTCAGTGACGGGTCGCGCTGAATGACAGATCATTACTCGAGTGATAAATGGTGCCGCGCTCGCGGTACTCGCCCGGGCAAAGGAAGCGCGTAAATGATGAGCAGACTTCCCCCGTTCCCGCTCTGCTCTGACCCACTTTCCTGAAGCGAGCCGACACCATGAACCTTCGCGGAGGCAACGTGTCGGAGCTCATCTCCAACACGGTCCGAGCGGTCACCTCCCTGGAGTCCAACCCCTGGCCTCCGCGTGGGCCCGAGGAAGGCCGGATGGGCAACGCCACCAGCCCGGGGTGTCACAGCGTCGACTCGCGCCCGGGCAACTGGTCGCACCACCTCGGCGTCGGGGGCGCGTTCGGGTGTCCGCCCTCGGCGCCGCCGGCGGAGAAGAACTGGGCGGCGCTGCTGATCCTGGTGGTCATCGCCGTCACGGTGATGGGGAACATCCTGGTCATCCTGGCCGTCTCCCTGGAGAAGAAGCTGCAGAACGCCACCAACTACTTCCTGATGTCGCTGGCGGTCGCCGACATGCTCCTCGGCATCTTGGTCATGCCGGTTTCCATGGTGACCATCCTCTACGGTAAGCAGTGAGTGACACTCGTGTCGGGCCGAGTTGGGTTGACATTTGGTGTGCTGCTGACTCGGGTCCAACAGTCTCTTTCATTCTCAGAATTGTTACATGACTAAACGAGCTGCACCTGCCGCCATGTTTACAGCTTCGTTCACTTGTGACACCAAGACGGGAAGAAATGGCGCTAAAATCTGTCATTGTGATATTTTGGACACTTTGACGTCTGGTGTTTGGATCCTTGTTTCCACCTCTCTCTGAAAGTCTTTGCGGACAGATGGAGAGCAGCAGTGATGGAGGTGTGCGGTGCTGTTGTTGACAGCGATGTGTTTGTTTTGGAGAGCAGCTTCAGCGCAGAAAGAAAGCGGCGAGTCCGGCTCGTGTGCGGAGATGAATGGAAAGGCCTGCAGGAGCGTGTTTCTGCAGCGCTGGCAGTGTTTGCAGTCACTTCTGTCAGGAGTCGAGGCTGGAAAAGCCAAAGCAATGATCTGTTATTGGCTCATACTGACCGCCGAAGCCTCTCATCTGTACGTCTGCAAGTTTCCTTTACATACTTACAGTAGACTCCAAACGGCAGCTTCATGTGTGTTCAACAACTCACCAACTCTCCTTTGCTGCACTGTAAAAATTTAAGTTCTCAAATCGAACAATCTGTGCTTGTTTATGGTTCTTTCCTGTTTTGTTAAACTACACCAGTAAGATCACAGAATAAAAAGTATGTACGGTAGTTCAGCCATGAAAAAATAGGCCAGAGCTGTTTTATTTGTGGGCTGCAAGGTGGAGCTGTGGTTAGCACTGTTGCCTCGCAGCTAGAAGGTCGCCGGTTTGCGTCCCGCTGGGGGCACCGGAATCTTTCTGCGTGGAGTCTCCATGTTCTCCCCGTGCAGCGTGGGTTCTCTCCGGGTTCTCCGGCTTCCTCCCACACAGTCCAAAAACATGTTGAGGTTAATTGGTGATTCTAAATTGTCCGTAGGTGTGAATGTGAGTGTGCTTGGTTGTCTGTCTCTAAGTGTAGCCCTGTGATAGACTGGTGACCTGTCCAGGTGAACCTGCCTTCACCCTGAGTCAGCTGGGATAGACTCCAGCCCCCCACGACCCTAGTGAGGATTAAGGTGTATAGAGGAGGATGGATGTTTTATTTGTACTGACCACATAAAAAATCAGCACATTTTTTGCTCTTTTCAAACATTTGACTGTAAAGTTACATCAGCATGTTTAAATCAGTAAAATATATCATCATCATAGTCCTGCTACTGGACAATACCTCATATTGGATCATAGTTTTCCCAGATGCCAAGACATCACGACGCCATTGGATTAAATACAGACTTATTGAGGAATATGCATCATGTCAGCACAGGTGTGTCAAAGCACAGAGATAAAACACTAACTGTTGCTCACAAGTGCCCATAAGGTGTCTTTTGCACCATTTCATTTTGGAAATATGGAGACTGATTCAAACAAACATATGTTTAAGCTGTTGTTTAGAGGAAAGTCAAGGTGGGATCACAATAAGCCTGTTTAAAGATGTGAAGCAGCCACGTTATGTCATTTATGCTTCCTGTCATTATCTACAAAACACGACGTACGAAGACGCATGAAGATCACAAGAAATGGCAGCAACAGCATTCCTTAAGTTTCTGATTTTACGTTATTAATCCCGTATGGCCAAAATCCACTTTTATTATGGTTTTGTTATAAACTTAGAGGTTTAAAATAAAAGCTGCCAGATGTTTACTTCAGCCATTCCTCAGGCTCGTTAGTCTGCAAGCTTTGCAGACGAGTAAGAGTTCACCCCATGAAGAAATTAATAACTGTTAGAAAACGATGCAAAGTGACAACAAAGAGGTTCAAAACTGTCACAAAAGATGCTAAATGATTACAAAGAGGTGCAAAACTGCTACAAAAAGATGTGAAAAGACAACCAAGATGTATAAAACTGCTAGAAAAACATACAAACTGACTATGGAGAGGTGCAAAACTGGTACAAAAAGATGCAAAATAATTACAAAGAGGTGCAAAACTGTTTCATAAAGATGCAAAATGACAAACAAAGAGATGCAAAACTGCTACAAAAACATGCAGACTAACAACAAATAGGTGCAAAACTGCTAGAAAAAGATGTGAAAAGACAACCAAGACGTACAAAACTGCTGCAAAAAGATGCAAACTGACTATGGAGAGGTGCAAAACTGTTACAAAAAGATGCAAAAAGGCAACAAAGAGGTGCAAAACGCTCACAAAAGATGTAAAATGACAGCAGAGGTTCAAACCTGCCACAAAAAGATGCAAAGTGACACCAAAGAGAGGCAAACCTGCTAAAAAAAAAAGATGCAAAATGACAACAAAAAGATGCAAAACTTCTACAAAAAAAATAAAATGACAAAAACAAGAGGTGGAAAACTACAACAACAAAAGCAAACTGACAGCAGAGGTCAAAGCTGTCACAGAAGGATGGAAACTGTGAACAAACAGGTGCAAAACTGCTCCAAAGAAATGCAAAATGACCCCAACCAGACAACGAATGACTACCGTGACACTATTTCAGTCTGGAGGCCGGTAGCTTGTCCGCCCCCAGGGGCCCGATGAATCATAATCCATCTCTAACGGCGAGTCGAGCAGCACCTCCAGAACCTTTGGCTCTGCCTGTGAGCTCTGCTGTCATTCCGCAGGAGGTTCAGGTGGCTGCTGATTAATGCTGCAGGAAGCCGGCTGCTTCCTCTGCGGATCCGTCAGTCAACGCCAGCCTCCGCCGTCGCCCAGCTGATCCTCGCTCCGGCTCCCTGCGAAATGTCACGAGCCGCCGCTCACGTAAGGAGCTTTAAGGCCTAAGTAGCAAATTCATTTGGATGAGACGGAGGAAGCGCGGTAAATTAATCAGGAGGACGAGTGCCTTCCAAAAGGAGCGACCTGCAGTGCTCATTACTCGCCTTCCCCGCTCTTTAATGAGAAGACAAAAGAACTCATTAGCCACGCCGACGCCAAACACAAACACGCGCCGCAATTATTTTCTCATGTTGTTACACGGCTGCGGGGTTTCAGATTCATTTACAGATCCGGAGAGCAAACGTTGCCTTTGTTTTTTCGGAGTTCGAGGGCAGAGCGACGATCTCGGAGGGATCCTGGAGAACGGTGGTCACGAGAGGTGATGAATGGTGTCAGCGAGAAGATGAGGGTGTCAATGGTTATTAACGAGGTCGCCGAGTCGGGTTTTTTTTGCCGCCGAGCTCGTAAAGATTAGATTATTAATGGGCTCTTTGATGAGGTTACGAGAGTCCACATTTCATACATGAAATCATAAATGAGATGAGAGACCAGTTTAGAGGAGCCGGGGCCACGGCTCGCTGTCGGGCTCCCGACGAGAAATGGGCAAAAATATCCACGTCTGGATGTTAAAAGAGACAATAATCCTTTGAAAATCCCACAGCGGGGAAATTTGCAGTTTTAAAGCAGCAAAGCGGGAAGCGCAGAAACGTAGAAAAATACAAATAGGCGTAGAAAATACCAGCATGGCACTGGATTATTCTGTGAGTAGATGTTGAAGATCCTTCTACATGTAGACAAATCGATATTTCAGAGATAAATAAAGTAAATACTGATGAAGCAGCCTGGTTGTCAAGCAGACAAAAGGCTCAAAGACGTGTAAAACAACTCCAGAAAGATGCAAGACGACCGCAGAAAGGTAGAAAGGGACCGCAAGGACCAAGAAACGAACCACGAAACACAACAAAAAGCAAACAAAACAACAAGAGAGATGACAAGAGAGACAAAAGGATGCAAAGCGACGAACAAGAGATGCAAAATACGACAGAAAGATGCAACAACCACAAAGAGACACACAACAATTAGAAAGACACAAAATCAGTGCAGAGAGACACACAGCAACGACAGAAAGTGACTACAAGGATGTATGAGGCAAAATGACTTGAAGTGACTGCAGAGACATACAAAGTGAAATAAACAACAAGATGCACACAAAAATGGACAAAACAACCAGAGAGAGACTCACGAAAACAGTCAGAAAGACGTAAGTTATCTAGAAAGAGGTATAAAACTGCTACAAGGGAATTGAAATGACGTCAAAAATAGGTCAGATTACTACAAAGAGGTGTAAAACAGCAACAACAAGATCGACAAAAAGATCCAACAACTACAGGAAGACTCAAATCAACCACGGCAGGCGGCAAACTGACTATGAAACAGTGTAAAATCCGACAGGACATTCAAAATAAGAGACAAAATGATCACAAAGAGATGAAAACTAACAAACAACTACAAAAATACAACACAAACAAAACAAAAAATGGGCTAAACCAAATACAAAGAGACACAACAGCTACAGAAAGATGCAGAAACACTAAAAAGAGGCGCAAAACATCAACAAAGAGATTCAGAATGATAAACAGACAACAGCTGCATTAAGATGTATTGCCTGCAACAAGAGAAAACAACCACCAAGAGACAAAATGGCCACGATGGGATGTAAAATAACCAAAAAAATATATCGAATTGGCTACAATGAGCTGCAAAATGAGGCAAAGAAGTGTAAAACGGCAACAGAGAGATTAGATAAGACTTCAAGAAGACCCAAAACAAAGACAGGAGAACCAAATCAGCCACAAAGAG